TGGCATTCCTTCCCCGCTCACGGGTGCGCCGTCCTTCGATTCCGCGCTGGTGCGCGGGTAAGTGAGGCGCCGCCTTCTTACGTCGGCGCCTCACTCCGGCCCCAGGGGCTATTTCGCCCGTACGGACCCTCTCGACCGCCTCCTTCTGCGACACAACTGTGTCGCAGAAGGAGGTGACGGCGGACCAGCCCTCATCTCCCCCCAGCATGGCCCTGATAAGGGCCAAGGGAGATAGGTCCGCTCCCACCACATCGACTAGGACTCGGCGCTCCGCCACCCACGAGGGGCATTCCTCGAGGGTGTGCCACGCCAAGTCCACCTCAACACCGCAGTGGTGGCAGCGGGAGTCAAGCTCCCTACCTATCCTATGCAGGTACTCACCGAAGCATCCGTATCCGGTGAGTACCTGCGTCGTCCGGAATGACAGCTCTCCGCGAGCCCTGTCTACCCACTCTTGTAGACAGGGCCGGATGGCCTCGGCGACCCTCGTACCCGACCGGCCCGTCGCCCCCTCCAGGTGGAGGTTCCACCTGAGGAGGAGGCGTTGACTGGTCTTTCGCCAATCCTATGGCCCTGGCCAGATGTTGTTGGTCTCCCCCGGCACGGAGCTCCTTAACACGCCGATAATTTTCGGCGTGCATCTCCGCAAGGAGCTCCAGCGGGAGGAGACCGGCCAGGGCCGTGGCGGCCATATGTGACGTTGTCCTATAAGCCCGGGCGAGGCGAATGGCGACCCACCGCTGAGCGCGGTGAGCCAGCGCTATAGTGCGCTGGTTGGTCGCCATCGCGCTCGTCCAGACCGGGGCCCCGTAAAGGGCCATAGAGTGGACGACGCCAGCATACAGCCGCCGTGTCTTCCTTTTTGGGCCGCCGAGATTGGGCAGGAGGCCACCCAACATATTGGCCACCCTGCCCAATTTGGGGGCCAGAAGCTCAAAATGCTTCTGAAACCCCCATGTGCCATCCAGGACGAGTCCCAGGTATTTGATCGTGGGACCCGCCCTCACGGAGACACCGTCAATCCGGATTCGGGCCCTTGGCGGCCCCCCTTGGAGCCGTCATGCATGAACATGATCTCCGACTTGAGGGGAGTCAACTTCAGGCCCATCCTGCTTAGGGAGCTTACCACCTGGTCCACCGCCAGACGTCCCATCTCTAGGGCGTCCCGCCAGCCCCTGCCCCCGGCTAACATCGTGTCGTCCGCGTAGCAGACGACAGTGCAGCCGGGGGGAGGGCAAGACGGAGGACTTGATCGTATGCGATGTTCCACAGTAGGGGTCTCAGCACGGACCCCTGCGGAACACCGCGATACATCGTCCTTTTGCACTGGAGTTCCGCTTTGTTGCGAAACTCCAGTCTTCTATCCCGGAAGTAGTCCCTTATTATTGAGACCAGATGGGGGGTGACCCTGAAATGGGCCAAACTCGCCTCCACCTGGTCCCAAGGGAGGGAGTTGGTTCTGTCGAAAACTGTATCTTCATCAAAAACGTTCACCAAATTTCTACACGCTTCTGTGACATTTCTACTTTGTTAGAATTCATATAGAATGCAATGTCGTAAATAAACTTTATTAATAGACATGTTTACGCTAACGAATCTCACTTAATACTGAGATGATGAAATTGTTTCAGTAAATTTCAATACATTTCAGTACATTTTGAACAGCACATATGTAGAAATACAATGGTAAATAGAGGCATATATGTTTCAAATGAACACGTTCATACGTATTGAAACTTGAGATGACACTATCGGATAGAACTTTCCGAACCTTCCAAACTTTTAGACCAAATATATATGCATATATGCGTTTGTCATAATGTGCAATGTCTACTTTGTCTCATAATCAACACATTTCTATATGTATTATTATTATTTTAGGGATCAATACGGATAGGCTTGGCGTTCAATTCGCGGAAGCCAGAGAAATTTTTCAGGAGATCGAGCAGCAGAACGCTCAAACGATGGATGTGAGTTATAATCACCCACCAATATCTTTCGTCAACTTTTAAATAACATACACATATTTTCGGTATTTATAATAAATTAATTATCGTGTCTAAACATTGCAGATTGTAGCTCGAGGCATGCAGCTGCAGGCAGAAACAGCAAGTAAACTTGCAGATGTTGCTTTAATGATGGCAGAGAACGATAAAAAGAGGAACGAGATCTTGGGGAAGATGATCGAAAATGACCGCGTACGTAATGTGCTGTTGGAGACCCTAACCAAAATCCTGGAAACTTCACTCCCAAAAAGTGCAATACATGATTCTTAGTATTGTTTTCTTTATTTATTAACTATGTACAAATAATCACTATGCAATAATTAGTATTTGAAACAAAAATTCTGTTCATTTCACACACACACACACACACACACACACACACACACACACACACACACACATATATATAATTCCTTTTTAAAATTCTCAACAATAGCGGTTTCATATTTTGTTTTCCAAGTGTATTTCTTTGAGCATTTAGTAGGCATCTGGGTTACCAAGAAGAAGGTGTCTGTATCGGTCTTGCAGAATTTGATTCTGAATGCGTTGTGCTAGAGCCCGAGGACCTCGTATAATTTCATTTTCATCTGGCTCAATGCCTTGAATTTGTACACCTTCATTGATTCCAACTTCGTACAATTCATCATTAGGCAGGCGATGATGGAGTCGCATGTTATGCAGTACACCACACGCATTAACGATATATCCGGTAAACGCCGGATTGTACATCAATACATGTTGATATGAAACATGTCCACATGTTTTTGAAACAACCGAAAAACCGCTCGACCACATTTCTTGCTTTACATAAATCCATTGTGTACTGAAATTGTCGAGTTCCTTCAGGGTAGTTCGGCAAAGGTGTCATGAGCCACGGTTCCAGCGGGTACCCAGCATCACCTAATGAGAAATAATCACTCTATGAAAATTTTTTTCAATATCATTATATAGTTTTTCATCGACATTTTTTTTGTTCTGAAATATAATGTAGGATGTTTTAAAAGTCGAAAAGAAAATGTCAGTCCTGATATAATTTGCGAAAAAAATTTTTGTTCGAGTCCTTTAACAATTTAACGACTAATAAATATTTAAAATATAAGAACAGCTGTCATATTTTATCATCAAACATTGAAACAGTTAATACGATATAGTAATAAATACAAAATCAGTTTATAATATTTATTACAATACGAGTTCATTTCCACATTTCATTTTTACTTGTATTAGGATATGTTAGGATTAAAAAAGATTCTTATTACGAAACTAGTTTTTTTTTATAATGCTTGAAGCTCATTGTTTGTTTTTTATTTTATCTTACTAATTTTTACAATATGTGGTAATAAAATATTACAGTTGACAATGCATTTCAAACATGTGTCAGAGAAGTTGCAGATCTATATACAAGACCGACTACAATCTTGTTACAAATTTCAAATGTGAGAATAGATGTTCTATTTTTTGCATATTCTAATAATTAGTAAGGTCTAACAATAAACAGAAAATAATCCTCTAGCATGTTTAAGAAACGAAGCTAGTTAATAACAGATTATAAATTTTTATCACCCAAGTATAACCAAGTAAGAATAAAAATAAAATATGGAGATAAACGCGGTATAATAATTTTTTTGTTTATTACTATATCGTATTAACTGTAATATTAACTGTGCAATGATAACATATGACAGCTGTCCTCATATTTCATGTTTCAGAATAACTAAAATATTAACGAACTAGAACAACTTGTTTTTGCAAATATTTGTTCATACTAAGATATTTTTTATATGACAGATAACATGCGTTGTAAAATTATCTATTACAAACACTATCGATAAATTTACACTACGTTTAATTTCACACATTTCGAATATTTAAAACTTTTTACTCTTTTTCCATTTCTGTGTCCATCACTGCTACCGATTAGCCACGTTCGACGCTCGCCTCGGTCGTAGTGAAATTGCATGGCCTGGCGGATTGGAGAGTGACTCCATATAAAGGAATCGTTTCTTGCTCCTAGCCACCTTGCATTGATGTTGAGCAATTTCATGTCTGTATCTACTATCTAAAAGTACATAAAATTATGTTAGAAACAGAGTCAAAATTTTCCATATGAATATGCATCACACGTGAAGTTACACCTTGCACATTCAACGAATGATTTCCATGGTGATTTACAAATGCCTCTTCATGTTCTCCTGGACCTAATATATTAATAAAGGTACAATCAATTGCTCTAATTGTTCCTTCAAATGGCTGTGGCGCATTAGCAAATTTAGTATGTGCCACTTGGCGTATTTTCGCAGTCATAGGAAATTGTATCCATCGGCGCAACAATCTCTGGTTAATCGAAACTGTCACTGCATGGAGACATCTACTAACTGTTGGTTGGCTTACGTTGAAGTTGAATTGATCCCCTGTTGGTCTTTGATAAATTCCATGCGCATAAAACTGAACTGCTATCAACACCTACAGAAAACATAGTACAATAAAAACAGTTTGAAGCTTCCGTTAGTACGAGTGGGATTCAAGAAGTATTGACACGCAAGAATATAACTACCTGTAGAAGATATACCAGTAGAACGTTGGCGAATCAAATCAGGCCTTAATATATTTGTTAATTCCAGTGCAAGCTCTGGACTAATGCAAAAAATATGCATGAATTCATTGCGAGGGAGATCAAATGGATTCTGTGAGTCTTTCAATATTCTCCGCTCTATGCGTCTTTCTATCTGGTGTACTCTTTCTTGCAGTACCATAAGTTCCCAAGCGAGAAAACCAACAGCCATTGTCTATATTATTCCTTTGCAATTAAAAATAGTGTTACAATACATATTATTTGAAACAATGTTACAATGAACAAAGCTAATTTATGGTAAACGAACATAACCTTCATAACGAACATTTTCCACTATCAATAATTCAACGGCGTCAAGCAAACATATGAATAATCCAAAATTTTAATTATAAAGTTTTAAATGCTTTTTTACCTTTCACATTAGTACTTCTGTACTTAATTCACAATCGCTGTACTTAATTCACAATTCACAGAATATATAACAATTATTTTCCGCATACGTGCTCCGAAATATATAAACTGCTTAAGCAAAACAGGATGAAACACTTCTTAACACTGACGGTCCGTTATGTTTTACGCATATAAGTGCATATGCTTGAAACAGAACGTATCCTAAGGCTACCGAGCATCGTTAACCGTTAACAAAGGGTCCCGAACCCTTCGCTTCGGTAACGGCCGCTATCGAAAAATTTCGATAACATTCCGACTGCGTTATCGTAAAAATTTGTTGCGGTGTCTTAGAGAATACCATTTCTCGCTACCGCATCGCTTCGGTAACTTAACGAACCAAAACTTGTCGCTAGCTGTTTTAACGACTTACAGAATAGGCCTACAGTACTGGGATTCTGTAACTCGTTATTGGAGTTAACGACAGTTTCGTTATCGTTGCGTAGCTTTTGTAAACCGTAGGAAAGCTGCGCAACGATAACGAAACTGTCGTTAACTCCAATAACGAGTTACAGAATCCCAGTACAGGAGCGGTTTGAATACAAAGGCGCGCTGGCCTGAAATATCGTTACTAACAAAGAAACACATACAAGTGTCCGCCTCCGATTTTCATGAACCTGTAATATGTTGTACTTTATTTTTATTTTAATTTTTTTTTATTATTATAATATTGTAACGATATTATAATCACACGCATCGTTACTAACAGCCCGACCGAACACCGGTCGGGCTACAAACGGCGCTACGCGCTACGCAAAGGCCGCAAGGCCAAAACCAAAGCATAAATACCCCGCGCCCATAACGCGTCTAAACAAGATAACAGCGTGCGCGCTGTCAACAAAGACTGACAGATAGCGAAAATGAGAATATACACCGTGACCGGAAAATAAGCGAGACCAGAGCGATCCGGACTGTTCACCGAACTCGATGCTTCAGCGGAGAGCGAGGATTTCGACCGTATCGTTTCTGCCTTTCCGTCTGTTTCCGCACCTGTAAAGGCAAAACCGGCATCAGGAGATTGTGTGTTTGCTATCTCCGTCGAGAGCTCTTGACACCGACTTCGCCTTCCCGTCTGATTCCAACAATCGGCCAAAGAGTTCGCGAGCCCATCAAATCGGTGCTAAGACACGATCGTACCACCGTCACCACCGGGCTCCCGTGGCCACCGAATTTCTGACATCGCGATTCGTGAACATTTCGCGACTTACCGATACCATCTTCTACCGAAACCGCGATCCGATTACTGGCGCCGTCTCACGTTGAAACATTCAAGATACCGCATTTTGTTCTCTCTCTCTCTCTCTCCTGTATCAAAACTATTAATAAACTTGTGTATTTATTTTTGTTACTTGCTTATGTCAAACAATTATTGAACCCGGACTCCAACAAGCGAAATTCCTGGCGATTCCTTCAACAACCGACACGCGGAGTTCGGCTGTTACAATATTAATAAAAAAAATCTTTTTTATCCTTTTTCAAATAATTTCAATAAAGTACTTTTCAAACCATTTAACTTTTATTTAAAATATTTTTTCTCTTATAGTTCTCATTATATCCCTTATAATTTTCTTATAGTTTTCATTATATTCCCTTCGAATAAAATTCGAATTTTTTCTTTTATAGTTCTCATTATATCCCTTATAATTTTCTTATAGTTTTCAATATATTCCTTTCAAATAAAAGAAACTGATTTTTTTCAAAGGAGTATTTCATCCCCTAAACTTGCTAAAGGGCACATATAATAAAAAACGTATATATAATTTTGATCTAAAGCACAATATATTACAAGTCCATCCCGCTGATGTGCGTGGCGACGCGCTGAGTGGTCTGAATCCCCTATGGCGCATTGCGTCCAAGCACCCGAGGGCTGCCAAAAAATTGGTGTTAATCCCGGGGCTTATTTGTATTGTTTGCACCGGATAAGGAAGGGTAACAATGGAGACGGGCATACATGGACAGTAGGTTTTAAAGGATAGCAACCTTTGACTTTGAGAGACTGAAAGCTGTACCATTTGGTACAGTAACATTGTCTCTCTCTGTAGTCGCCATGCCCTCGGGATCGCGCTAGAGATGTCGCTTCCGAACGGCATCTCTGAGCGTTATCTAGAGAAAGGAGAATGTCGTGAGCGTGGAGTGTCAAGTAGCTCAGTGGTTTAGAGCAGTCATCCGGCAAGTGAAAGTCGCGGGTTCGAGTCCCGGTCTAGCAA